CACACACACACAGACACGCACACTCACAGACAGACACTCACAGACAGACACTCACAGACAGACACTCACAGACACGCACACACACACACACACAGACACGCACACTCACAGACAGACACTCACAGACACGCACACTCACAGACACGCACTCACACACACGCACACTCACACGCACGCACACTCACACGCACGCACGCACGCACGCACGCACGCACACCTGATTAACAAATGGATATACCACATAATTTACGATATAGCATAGCAAAAAAACACGACAGCATTTCCAGTGCAGCTGTGCAAAAAAATAGCCTACAGCTGTGAGTTGGTTACTGACCAAGCTGACAGCAAACACGCCGAGCGCTCATACAGACGGAATGGCTTTCTCAGCTCGAGAAAAAATGCGTGAATAAAGCAAATACCATTTCGACATCACGCGCTGACCGAAACAAAACTCACCGCAGGAGCAGTCGCGCCGCTGACGTCACCGCTGCTTCCGGGATCAAACGCGCGTGCGGCTCACTGCTGCCACCTGCTGGCGGGAAACCACTATGTATCAGTTTTATTTGCTTTGACTCTAATATTATTTTTTATACATTTGCGGCAGGTTTTTCACTAGTTAGCAGTAAACCGGTTTCCTCGCCTGAATATGATCTAGATGTCTGTTGGATGTTATCTTTGTTACTATTTTATTAGTAAACATCATGCTTTTCTGGTGCTGACAGTGTCGCGTAAACATGACTGAAGACTCGAAACCGGAGCAGCAGACGAACCGATTCAATTGAGTGAATCATTTACGCTCGAACAGCTCCGATTGATTCAAACTCGACTCACTAGCAAAAACCAGCTCAAAAGAGCCATTCTTTCCGAATTTCGACATAGTAATGATTTTAAAAATGCACGGATGGTGAATCAGAGCTTGTCCAATGCCAAAATCAAAGTCTTTATCATTTAATGTGTTTTTGATCGGATATGCTTTTACGCAAGTCATTACAGTAGCATAAATACAAACAAGTATAAAAACTCTAAATAAATCAATTACATCATCAAATCAAATGATTACATCGAAAGGAATATGGTTTTGGAAATTGTTGATGCATTGTGTTACATGTCCTGCTACAGAAAAACGAAGCTAAAATATCGGCTTTATTCACAATAATCGGAACGATGAAATAACAATAATTCTCATCTTTTCAAAATATTCACAGCCTGCCTGTCTACCCACATCAGAACATAGCAGCATCTCTCAGAAGCATCGCTGTAGAATCAGGAAAGCAAGTCCGGTATGGGGTTCAATTTCCGCCAAAAACAGCTTTTCCGTGTTTCCCAAGTCATTCTACCTGTAGATAGGATAGGAGCCCTCTGTTTGTCGTCTAGTGACCCCTGGTGTTCACGTTTAGTCACCGCAGTCTCTTCTGCTCACTAATGCTGCATTTATTTGATAACATGTACAGTAAAAATAGTGAAATATTATTGCAATTTCAAACAGCGGTTTTCTGTGTGAATGTGTGTTAAACTGTAATTTATTTCTGTGATCAAAGCTGAATTTTCAGCATCATTAGGAGGGCACAATGTAACGCGGGGTAAGTTGTTACACACGTGGTTTGAATATTTCCACACATGCTAGCAAAGCCACATTTACGGCATTTACTAGTTACCATATCAACATTATATAGAGAAAAAAGTATGCCAAAATTCAAAAGTCTTTTGAAGATATCGCTGAACATTTATTTTACCATAGTAACATTATATTTCAGACTTATGTAAATTTTTCATCTCAGTTTTTATCACTCATTTAAAATGAGACAAATCTGCTATTATTGCAATCTGTTATTTATCAGTTTAGATTATTTTTTAATGCTTCGCTAACTATCATAACCGGTTTTAAATTCCAGTTGCGTTACACTGCGTTACAATGTGCTATTCTATGACATTAGCGATGCAATTCACACTATTTACTTTAATTAATTTTAATGATAAACGACGAGAAACTGGTGACTGACAGTCAATGTTTAGTGTTAAGAAATGATTATTTCATGTTTATGCTGGCCGTCACAAGCTTGGTTGCAATGCGTTCTTTGTCAAACTCCAAAATCAGATGATTTTTAATTCTTAAAAAACGGCATTATTTTATTTGAAATAAATAATTATTTTATTTTATTGACAAAATATTTTAGTTTGTCTTGTATGTTTTTTTCATGCGATCAGATAATGTTTTAGGCTGTCACGTGGTCATGTTACAACGTGCCCCTCAGATGTTACAATGTACCCCACCTACGGGGCATGTTGTCACATTTCACTTCCAATTTTTGAGGGTGAATAAAGAAAAACGTATACACTGTAATTATGAAACAAAGCGACATATTTGTACTAGACAAGTGTGAAATTACTGTGGATAAAAAAAAATTATATTCTGAACCCCATGTGGATTTACACAATTTGAGAAAGTCAAAAAGTGTTACTTTGTGCCCCGCTCGATCTCCCCTACTCCAGTCTTCAGTGTCACATGATCTTCAGAAATCATTCTAATATGCTGATTTGCTGCTCGAGACTCCAAATTGTAACAAAAGTAGCAATTACCTTTTGTTTTTTATTCCGTGGCGGCAACAAGCTTCCATAGAAAACAGGTATTTTAAATTGTAATAATATTGACTATTTTTACTGTACAAATGCAGCCTTGGTCAGCAGAAGAGACTCTTTCAAAACATTAACAAATCTTACTTATACCAAACTTTTGGCCCACACAGACTAATGAAACATTTCCCTCCATATCACTTATGACCAAAAGAGAAGTCAAAAGTCAACAGAAGGTTTAAAAGCTGGAGAAATGTGATTCATAACTGCATTTGTTGTAACACAGCCCTCTTTAGTGCATTCAGCTCTTAAGGCCCGTTCACACCACAACTATAACGATAAATATAACGATAACGATATAGTAAAAATCGTTCTCAATATTAAAGAATAGCAGAGTGCACACCACAACTATAACGATAAAGGCACAGAGAAACGATACCGTTGGAATCACTTTCAAAAAGAATTTTTTCTAGCTGATGAACGATAAAAATTTTGACAGCCAATCAGAATCCATCCTGCTGTAACGAGCTCGAGAATTTAAAGCGACAGACACGCGTGCGCTTAGAATAATGTGGACGCTTATATCGTTATCTTACCATCTTCAAGAATCGGCTAAAACACATCTCTTCCATCTTTATTTGACCCTCTAACTCTAGCACTCTCTATTCTAATTCTATTCTTAAAAATAAAATAAAAAAATACAAGTCCCTTTTAGACTTGCACTCTATTCATTTGCTGCTTGAAAAAAAAACTAACACTTGCTTTCTAATCTTTTTGTGTTCTATCTGTTTTCTTTTTATTTATTCTATTATTCTGAAAAACCCTTGCTACGTGTACTGCGTTAAGTTAACTGAGACTCATTATAGCACTTGTATATCATTGCTCTTTTGTTGATTTTGATTGCTTCCGTTTGTCCTCATTTGTGACCCTAGAGCACAAAACCAGTCTCAAGGGTCAATTTTTCGAAATTGAGATGTATGCATCAGCTGAAAGCTGAATAAATAATCTTTCCATTGATGTATGGTTTGTTAGGATAGGACAATATTTGAAAATCTGGAATCTGAGGGTGCAAAAAAATCTAAATATTGAGAAAATCATCTTTAAAGTTGTTCAAATGAAGTTCTTAGCAATGCATATTACTAATAAAACATTAAGTTTTGATATATTTACGGTAGGAGATTTACTAAATATCTTCATGGAACATGATCTTTACTTAATATCCTAATGATTTTTGGCATAAAAGCAAAATGGATAATTTATTTTTACATTGCGACTTAAGACTGGTTTTGTGGTCCAGGGTCACGTTTGGATAAAAGCGTCTGCTAAATGACTAAATGTAATGTTATCTTTATAGTTATCGTTTTTGGTGTGAACGGGGCTTTAGTCTCAAGTCGATTGTCTCGCGTCTAAATCTCCGTGGACTCGATCCGCTCCAAGCGAGACGGTCCCGGCCACGGAGGCGCCAGCAGATGTTTGGGATCGTCCGCGGCTGGGGACAGAGTGATGGTCACAGGGACGGGGATGGAGAGGCTGACGGGCGATCCGGGCGAGATACCCAGTTTGGCTCCGAGTTGGCCGACCCGTTCCTCCAGCGCCTGGTTCCTCTGCAGCGTCTCCACGTAGCTGAGCTGCAGCTGCGCCTGGTACTTCAGCACGCGCTCTTTCTCGTCCTGCCAGGTGTGTCGCTCCTGAGCGAAGGTGAGCACCTGCCTCTCTCTCTGCTGCCGCTCCAAGTGCAGCTCGCCCTGCAGTCTCTCCAGCTGCCGCCGCAGCTCTCCGGCCTCCTGCCGCTGCGCTTTGGCCTCGTCGCTCTGCAGGCTGAGGAAGCTGTCGATGGGCAGGGCTTCGGGCGTTCGGGGCGAGTGCAAGCCGGCCCACGGTAAGCTGCCGCTGATGCCGCTGATGTCCCTCAGACACACAGCGTGATCGCTCCTGCAGCTCAGCTCGCTCAGAGCCCGCTTGAGACCCAGAACCTCGGCCTCGAACACCACCAGCTTGTCACGCAACATCGACACCTGCGGAGACACCAAACCAGCGCTCACAGCATGTGCTGAGTATAAGTACAAATTACATACTTCACAGAACACCTGAGAAGAGATGATGCCAACCCCTCAGAGGACCTCAGATGATGCAACCCTGAAACAACATACAGGACTACCACATTTGCATCATATAATAATTGTTGTTAATAGTGTTCATCGTCTGTTTTGATTACGTCTTTAATTGATTTTCCGTACATTGACT